CTCTCACACTCTCACACTCACTCACACACACTCACACACTCGGTGCCAGAAACTCAACAATGGCGTCTCTCTCTTCTTCGTGCTTGGTGTGTTCTCCTCTGAGACGCTTTCTGTCTGATATGACAAATTATCTTAAGCCTTCCTCCCTCTTTTCATTCCTCCCTTCTTCTCCCCCCTCCCCCCCCCCCCCCCCCCCCCCCCCCCCCAGGCCTCCAAGATAGATTCCCTCAGGAGTGCAGTGGACTTGCTCCGCCTCCCTCTGGCCCTCAGCTCCAAGTCCATCAGCAGCCACAAGAGCCAGCTGGGCGTGGTCTGGGAGAAGGGCGGCGGCTCAGGGGCAGGAGGGGCTCGGAAACCCCGCCCACCGCCAGCCTCCGACATGGACAACGAGTCGATGTACTCCGCCTACTCCTTCAAGTCGTCGCACTCGCGGACCTCACGCAAACACAGGTAGGGGATCATGGGAAATTTAGTGTTTTTACAATCGATCCACTGATCAATAATTTCCGATCCTCTGACGCCCACTGATGGATTGACGTTGATCGTCAGTTGCAGCTCTAGAAGGTTCGTAAATCCCTGACTTGTACTCTTTCCTCTTCATGACGTCTCCACAGAGACAGGAGGGACAAGCATCGCTCAAAGACTCGTGACAGCAGCCTCCGCGGAGACAAATCTGTGAGCATCCAGGCTCCGGGCGAGACGCTGCTGGATGTGGAGTCCACCCGCGGAGACGACCGGGTCAGAGTTCCTTCTGAACACCTGCAGTTAAAATTCATTGTGGAGATGCCGTCACTCATCTCTGCCTTCCTCTCTCCTCAGGACGACAACTGGGGCGAGACCACCACCGTGGTCACCGGCACCTCGGTGGACAGCGTCTCCCATGAGGACCTGACACGGATCTCCAAGGACCTAGAGGAGTCCTCGCCGCTGGAGTGCCGCCGTTACTTCGGCATTGTGTTGGGCGCCGTCCTGGGGCTCTTTGCTCTGGTCACTCCTCTGGCCTTTTTGGCGCTGCCACAGCTGCTGTGGCGGGACAGCCTGGACCCTTGCGGCACGCCGTGCGAGGGCCTCTACATTTCTCTGGCGTTTAAGCTCCTGATCCTCCTCATCTCCACCTGGGCGCTGTTCCTCCGCCCGACCAGAGCCACTCTGCCGCGCTTCTTCATCTTCCGCTGTCTGCTGCTGGCGCTGGTCTTCCTCTTCGTGGCGTCCTATTGGCTCTTCTACGGAGTGCGGGTGCTGGAGCCCAGAGAGACGGACTACAGGGGGATTGTGGGATATGCAGCATCTCTGGTGGATGCACTGCTTTTCATCCAGTACCTGGCTCTGGTGCTTCTGGAGGTGCGACACCTGCAGCCAGATTTCTGTCTGAAGGTCGTGAGGACCACCGATGGAGCCAGTCGCTTCTACAGCGTCGGACATCTGAGGTCAGTCTTCATTCTCTTCCCTTCTCTGACTCTCTTCATCTCTCGTTTCTCTGTATTTTCCCCTTTTAATACCGTGAACTGCAAATAAACATGGACGACGCCCCTCCGCTGCCTCCCTCTGTCCAGAAATGAAGCCAGAATGTATTGGACACAAACGCCGCCATAAATTATCATAGACTTTTTATTTTAGTCCATGTCCCATCCGTTAACATGAAGGAGGCGGGGTTTATGACTTGTACTGCAGCCAGCCACCAGGGGGCGATTGAGTCATGACGCCCATCTTTGTATACAGTCTGTGTATAAATACAACCAGATGTCTGTGTTTTGAAGTAAAAGCGTTGTCTCTCTCCCCGTCTCGTGCACAGTATTCAGCGGGCAGCAGCGTGGCTTCTGGATCAGTACTACAGCGACTTCCCGGTCTATAACCCCGCCCTGCTCAATCTGCCCAAGTCCATCCTCACCAGGAAGATGTCGGCCTTCAAGGTCTACAATCTGGGAGAAGGTAGAAAAAGAACAAATGGTCCAGTATCTCATCTCTCACGTTCCCACCGGCGTCAGAACAAATCCTTCCACTCACAGATATCAGATCAGTGTAAAATATCAAAAGACACCATCTCACAATGTTAAAGAAAGTGAAAATCCCTCCTGACCCAGACCATGTCCGTCCACCGAGTTTCATGGAAATCCATGCTGGTGTTTTCGTGTAACTTTGCTCACAAACAAAAAGACACACGTGTTTCCTCGGTGAAGATAAATATAACCACCACATTAATCCTGAAGTAAATGAGAAAACAAACCTGCTGAGAATTCACAGATTTCTACATGAACTCCACAAATCACACACGTGATAAGTCAGTTGTGTCGTGGTGGCTCCGCCTGTCAACTGGTCGTTATTTAACGTCAGTGTTTCCACAGAGAACAGCACCAACGCCTCCTCGGGCCAATCCAGAGCCATGATCGCAGCCAACGCTCGCAAGAGAGACAACTCCCACACCGAGTTCTACTACGAGGAGGCAGAGGTGGAGCGGAGGGTCCGCAAGCGCAAGGCCAGGTGAGGATGAAATACGTGGCTGTACACTACTGTCGTGGTGAGGCTACTTCCTGGAGGCAGTGCATGCCAACCTGCTATTGATCAAACTCTCTGCAGGAGCTAAATGTACAAAGAACCATTGACATTCATTAAAATATTGAGGAGAGCAGCTTTAAATCCAAGTCGGTGTCTCACTCACGGTGTAATTGCTCCTCCCAGACTGGTGGTGGCGGTAGAGGAAGCCTTCACCCACATCAGGCGTCACCAGGAAGACGAGGCGGTCTTGTCCTCGCCCAAACACCCACGGGAGGTGATGGACCCGAGGGAGGCGGCTCAGGCCATCTTTGCTCCGATGGCACGGGCCATGCAGAAGTACCTCCGAGCCACCAGGCAGCAGTCGTACCACAGCATGGAGAGCATCATCGACTTCCTGCAGTTCTGCATCACGCACAACATGACGCCCAAGGTTAGAAGCATCTTTCATCAGATGTATTTTATCACAAGGACAAAACTACTGAGCCAATCTTCTGTAAACAAAATCTAAAACACGTGAAACCGGAGAATTACAGCTGGATTCTTATCTCCAAGTCATCACCTGTGTTTCTGTCCTCGAAGGCTTTCCTTGAGCGTTACCTCAGCCCAGGTCCCACCCTCCAGTACCTGGACAGCAGCAGGGGGCGCCAGTGGACACTAGTGAGCGAGGAGCCGGTGACGGCGTCTCTAAGGCAAGGTCAGGTCTTCACCCTGAAACGTCCGGACTTCTCCCTGGTTGTCACGGTGACACGACTTCCCTTCGTGCGGCTGGGGGAGGAATTTGTCGACCCCAAAAGCCACAAGTTTGTGATGAAGCTGCAGTCGGAGACATCTGTGTAGAAGAAGAGGAGATTATATTCTGGTAGTATCTCTTTTTGTCTGTTGATATAACTTTGCACAACTTTTTATGTCGAATGGAGTCGACGTTTAAACTCACCGACGAGAAGAGGCAACAGAAATATCTCGTCACTGACCTTGTTCCTCTTTCGTTTCTGGTGAACAAAACAAGCCTGTTAACTGTGATAACTGTAGACCGCTTCCACTTCCCATTCTTCTAACGGAGTCTGTGGTTCAACTCGTATTTCACTACAAATGTAATAAAACCGTCTTTTGATTAAATTAAAAAAAAAAGGACGAAGCGACCTCCAGGGGTGATAAGTCGGATTTTAGCCACAGGATTTATTCAAGAGAACTCTGACAGCCACTGGCTGCGGTTTGTTAAAGTCATGTGTGAAAACACCAAACTGCTTTTTCATGTGAACTACTTCTCATTTCCCCTCGAGCTTGAACTTCTTTGAAAAAGTCCACCTTGCCTTTTCTCGGACTGAGTTCAGTGGCCGCATGAAATGACAATGAGTCCGCCCTCGTTCTGCTTCCTCTATTTGTGATTCGCTGAAGGCTTCACTCAAAACGTTTGAGCCAAAGGACGGAGAGACAAACACTGGATGGACTCTGATCGTGTTATTTCTCATGAAGTTGTAAAAATGAGTTTTTCATATGGTTACTGATGCACTGGCAACAAATGTAGGAACAATAAAGTTCATGTTCAGTGTCACTTCTGCATTTAATGTGTGTGTGTGTGTGTGTGTGTTAGTCAGAAATGGGCAACATGACAGTTCCCCGAGAACAAACTGAAATCCTCTCAGTCTTCCCCCGGTGGCCGGCTCTGTCTCGACCAATGAACAACCAGCTCTCCAACTCTACTCTGGGAAACTGGCAAGGCGGGACTCAGAGGGGAAATAACTTCACGCTCCTCCAACAACTAAAAGAAAGAACATGCAAACAACCGCACATGAACAACAGTCAGCTGAATAATACTGTGAGAGAAAAGAGAAATCACTCAGCAGGGAATTAAACTCAACCTCCTCAAGCTATGAATGACACTTCCCAAACTGTATAGTAATCTGATTACCCAGGAAATAACCGACCTATCAACTGCTCACTTGTTCGAGATCATCTGTCACCACACCGAGTATGAGAAGTTCTGGATGCTCCGAACTTCAAAAGATGCCCGACAACAAAGTGGGCTTCACCAGGAGAACTCTCACCACAGACACGGCACACGAGATCTGTTCATTACATCAAACTCTACTTTCATGATCCGCAGAGAACCTCACTGCGAAGAATCGACCGCTTCCACAAAGTGTCTGTGTGGATGCGGTTGCATCTGTCCATTTATTACACAATTTTAAAAAGAGAGAGAGAGAAAACGAAACAGGAAGTGCAGTGGGAGAACGTGACGCTCGTCAGTGAGTAACATTTTCCATTGTTTTAAAACTTTGTAGGGAATCCAAGTCAGCAGCTGGATGAGATTTTATTTTAAAAAGTATGGTTTCTACAGAACAGAGACAAAAATCCAACAGCTCAGCTCTGCAGTGACGAACAAAGACGTTTTGTTTAAATGAACACGACTTAAAGCTCCAGTGTGAAAGATTCAGTCAGAAATTTAATGCTGAATGATCCTCATGATGTTTTCACGAGTTCAGTTCATCTAAATAGTTTGAATTGTAGAAGACCTTTATATTTCCATGGAGGGGACCCTCTCTGCGGAGGCCACCAACTGAAGTAGCTTTTTAAATTGAACTTCAAGTTTTCCATTGTGACTAATAATCCGTCATGTGGCGGAAGCGTCAGAACCGTTAGGTTTCGCCTTCCACTACTTCCTTGTTCAGTCTCGAGCTCGATGTTACTTCGAATCATCCTCGTATGTGTTCATGGTAGGTTCTCTTTTCCTTTTCTGAAATTATCATTATTAAAAGCAGCAGCCGAACTTTTAAAAACTCAAATACTAGGCAGTATAATCGAGAACTCTAATCTTTTTAAACTGCAATAAAAAACAAACAACTGAACAGAAAGACAGAAAAACACAGAATGTACTTCAAAGCTGTCTTGATAAGTTTTGTTCTTCTATCTCACTGAACTCACTGAAACGTCTCATATTATATCGAACATGTAATGAGTGACAAAAGGAGAAGCAAGGACGTTTGGCGTGTGGGTTGCTCGAAGCACCTCATCTTGATAAGAATGTTTTTCTCCGTCGACTCAACGCTGAAATTAACTTTATTTAAAATGTCAGTAAACATTTCTCTGAGGAGTTTAAGGCCTCAATCTGTCAAAACAAGTTTTGAGTACAGCACGATGTTCATTTTATAAATTATGGTCCAATTAATCTCTAAATCTTGTCTGTGATGTCGACAAAAAGCTAAACGATGACAAAATGTCCCCTAATAATTCTCTCTCTGTACCTTTTAAACATCCACCACGAGCAGTTCAAGATTAACGACGTCTGAACTGAAGCGAGTGCGTGTTTTCCATCTTTCTTTAAAGAGATGAGCTGTTGTGGACACACTGGTTTTATTTATACTCACAGTGGTTCGAGCTCTATCCCCTGACGAAGTCATCGGGTACCTCGGGGACAGCGTTACGTTGCCCTCAAGAGCAGATCCATCATGGAAGCTCGACACAATCGAGTGGTCTATTCTCTCCAACAACACGTGGATTGCCACCCACACCAACAGAAAGACCAACACTGAACGTTTCTGGCAACATAGAGGGCGACTCAGTCTCAACAACAAAACAGGTGAGAGGAAATCTATCGTCAGGGAGTCGATATTTTACTCTTCTCTCTTGATGGTGAACTTTTTAACGACTTTTTCTTGCAGGTGACTTGACGATCCATCATTTGAAGAGAGAAGATGAGATGGAGTACACTGTGGATCTCATCAGCACTGAGAGAAACGCCACGGTGAACAAGGTGCGGCTCATAATTAAACGTAAGTGAGCCCAACATTCACGACTCATGGAAGCAGCAGCTCTGTAGAATGAAAAAATGAGTGTGGATCACATGGTCCTGACTGAAAAGATCCACGAGAACTGGGCCCAGGGCGAAAGTTAGCGTCAAAAGTTTCGCAAGTTTTGCCAACTCAAGTCATTTCATCTGCGAAACTGGCGTCACCAAGCTAAACAGTCTCCCGCTAGCTAAACGATGTCAGAGACATTGAAAACTATGATCCACTGATGCGAAAGGGAACTCAGCATATTTGATTGATTTCATTTAACAGGCGTTAGTTGTTCCCATAGATTCAACCTGTGGTATTCTCCTCCGGCAGCACGTGACCCTCATATTTGTGGTTTTTAAGTGAAAGAATAATTTGCCATGGAATTTTTAAATTATGATCACCTGACTCGGTATCGAACAGTGGGTCAGCGTCTCAGTTTGTTCAATGCTTTTGCTGAGGACATTTCTATCAAGAACTTAACGTTAAGTAAACCGCTGATCGTAAACACGGAAATTTGGTCCACTGACACACCAGAGAAAAGAAAAACTGATCCATGTCTAATTGTGAACACACTTTATTCCCGAGCAGAACACCTGCAGCCGCCGACCATCGAGACACTTTTCAAATTGCGTAAGGAAGGAGGCTGTTGGACGGGGCTGCGGTGTTCCTCTCAAGATGGAGGGGTTGATTTCTCCTGGAAGGTCAAACCTCTCACTGCGGAGGCCTTCAGCACGCTGAGTAACGCTGAGGGAAACTCAGGAGCGATATTCACGTTCCTCAACAACACAGAGATCCACGAGTTCACCTGCACCACCAGCAGGAACAAGGACAAGGTCTCGGGGACTTTTTTCCTACATTGTGGTAAGTTCACATAAAAACATCACATTTCCTGGATCCACTGTTGTTCATGGTGGAATCTAGAAATGATCAACTGAATGTCACATAAGTCACAAAGTGTAATCAATAGATTCAATCGATTCAACAGGTGAACGCAGAGAAACTAACTCCTGATTCTTCTCTCCTCCCTATCTTTGCAGAAACACCCAGGGAGAGATGGGGAATGTATTTAGCCCTCGGCTTTGCCGTTGTCACTGTCATAAAGTTGTGGTCACACACAATGTGTTCTCCTGAGAAAATGGCTGTTTCTTCCTCCTCTCGTCAGGAAGGAAGCCGCACAGAGCCCAGCACAGAGAGCATCAACAATGTCTGACAACGACTGCGACGTGATGTATTTGTACAAATGTATACAGATGATGTATAAATACTTTTAACATACCTCTTCATTATGTTAATATTCCGGGAGACGTCCTCACATGTGTCCCTCTGAGGTTTCTACATTTTTTCCCCAAAGTGTTTTTTGGTAGTTTCCCTCGAGGTAAGAACAGACGACGTGTCTCCTCGTTAACATCTGTGACACAAACTGCCCAAAGAAGATTCATGTGATTGATTTGATGAATAAATCTGATTACAGATTATAATCCTGGCATTCAAGACATTGAGTTTATTTCATCTTT